ACTCTATTCAAGGGTTGGAACTTTACCGCTACAGAAAATGGATGGACTACAGATGCTACAGCTTTAGAATGGCTGAAAAAGATCTATATCCCTCAAACTACCCCTATTCAGCCGGAAAATTCAAGACTCCTCATTTTGGACGGACACGGAAGCCATGAAACTACAGCATTTATGTTAGAATGCTTTAATAACAACATATATCTCTTATTTCTCCCACCACATACGTCACACGTACTACAACCACTCGATTTATCTGTGTTCTCACCCCTAAAAAGTGCATATCGAATCGAACTTAATAAATTAAGTCTATTATCCGATTCCTCACCAATTGGAAAGCGCAATTTCCTTTCTTGCTATCAGAAGGCTAGAATAGAAGGTTTAACTATTCAAAATATCAAGTCTGGGTGGCAAGCTAGTGGTCTTTGGCCCAAAAATATGGCTAAACCTCTTATGAGTCGACTTTTGCTTGAAAATAGCAATAGAGAGGTTTTATCACTTAATCCTGAATCTGATGATGATCCTATTCTTCAATGGAATATATATTCATCGTTTATTCAATGGAAAACCCCTCAAAAAGGAGCCGATATCAGAAAATATAGAGATATAATGATTCAAGAGAAGGAGATCGATTTGCCAACACGAAGATTACTATTTCGCAAGATTATAAAAGGATTCGATGCTAAGGATTATGAACTCTTAGAGGCAGAGAATAAGATTAGAAAGCTAGAATATCAATTAGATGAAGCATTACCTAGAAAAAGGCGAAAGGTTGTGGTATCTCCAAATTCGAAGTTCGCAGGGATTAGAGCTATAAGGCGTACACAAATTGAAGCTGGAGATCGTGAAGATGAGGTAGATGATAGCTCTAGTGCTATAGAAAGTGATTCTACAGGCGATTTCATTGAAGTTCAATAGTTATTGAGTTATTAAAGTTTTAAGTGTAGATAATATGAATTTTTTAGGTGGTCGGAAACAGGGGGTGGTCGGAAAGTGGGGTAGTTGACTTATATCGCCGGTCTTGCGCGTAAGACTTAAGCGTAATATTCAAGCTGTTGCACCACTTTCCACCTTGAATCCACTGGGACATAAGATTAAATGACGTGAACACGCTCGCAACACAGGAGATAAAATCTTCGGAGAAGGATAGCAGTAGGTGGATAAGAAATGATAACGGAATCGAACATAATAGACACAGATTCTTGATCTCTGGAACACTTGGATAGAGGGACATTTTCTGGAGCGTATGAGTTATTGGTGTGGATGTCCTTGCACCACAACTAATCAATTGAACCAAACTTTATCCCTCCTTCTTGCTCAAGAGTATCCTCTCTCCCTGAAACGGTACTCCACATGGTCTCGGATTCGATGATGAAACTTTTTGATGTTCTACAGCAATTATCTTGGTTGAAATAGGCCGGAGTATTAATGGTGCTGCGAATCGAAGGAGGATATTTGGTGTATGGGCTTCTGGTAAGGAGGGTCAACGGAAAGATGGATGGTTATTCTTTTCTCCTTGCATCAATTAGATGAGGACTTTGGAATTTTTGGTGGAAGACAGGATTAAAGGACTAGGAAAATGTGGGTATATTGATTTTTCTCGTCTTCTGCCATTAAGGGCCAGATAGTGGGGAAACCGATATGCGGGAACCCTTTTTTCCAAGTTGTGTTGATCTCGGGAAGGGTGAGCGGTAAATTCGATCATTCAGGACTTGTAGTTTTTCTTGCAAACTTCCCCTTCTTTTAGTAAATCTTATCACGATCGAGAAGTTCTCTCGATTTGTAACAATTCTATTGAATGCTACCAAAGAACAAAACGAACTCTCAGAGAGCAGTAGAGCTTAAACTTGGCACTCAGTTTTTTGATTTTCCGTTCTGCAGTTCTCTCTCATCGTCCACCGGCAGAATGATACAGGTCAATTTCTGGCAAATCGGAAAATCCGTAAATGTTTGAGAGCGGGTCGGCAAGGTAATTCTTGGTTCTTCGACTTCAATACCTTTTATGCATGATTTTTGTGGTAATACTTATCTTTGAAACCCGTTCTTGGTCTATCAACAGATGGATTATAACGTTCCGATGTATATTTATGCAGACGTCGCTGGTCCAGGGTGGGGGTCAATAGACCCAGAGAAGACCTAAAAATCTTCGTCCTCCCTATACCTAGTAAACGATATGCTCTCCAATTTTATATGTATTGAACTTACGTTGTTTGAATCAAAAGGAGACCAAGACGATGTATCTGAGAGTCTGAAACATAGACATACTTCTTCAAGGGGATTTTTTACCTACTCAGACTGCGATGTTTACTCGGTCGAAACCTTCAGTTGATCAAGTGACAAATTCCCAAAAAGGATCAACTTCGGGTCAGAATGAGACTACAACGAACTCAAGAGTAGTTGTGATGTCTTGACTAGTTTTGTTTCCTTTAGTTGAAAGCATCTTGCTCTGGTTTTCAAGTCTGCCTTCGTTCTTTCCTCTGGAAGAAGCAACTGACTGGGGGTCTCGGCTATCAACTCCTGGTTTTCTACAAAACGCCCCTTGCATTGGGTTGTTCGGGCTCTTCGCATGCGAAGGATTGCAGCGGATCAACTGGGCATCAAGACTTCTTCTCACTCGATTTGATGCAGAATTTTACATGCAGGCTCCTATGAAGAAGCACCAGAAAGGACCATTTTTCTAGCAGAATGTTAAGAATAGAATATCTGTATTTAACTTGAGATTATTTTTACATTCTTCAGGGCTTTCATGTCATGAGTAGTATGGAGCACGAAGGATCATCTGGCTTGGTCGATTTCGACAATGGAGGATTTCAGCTAGCGAGGCTTACCACAACTTTTCAAATTTATGAAATTAATGTCTTTGGAGGATGAAGCGAGGCTGACTATGTCATTTCCGTTCTACTGCTTGGAATTTAAATTTGAAGGTTTCGACGCTATTGTGCATCAGTGCGATATCACAAGACTCTGTAGACCAAGACGGCCAGTCCACATCTCACCATCAGAGGATACACAAATAATAGATCGAGGCTAGAAAATATGCAGATGCCCTCAAAGATTATTTTGGACCATAAAACTTTGTGAATTCAATGAAAAGTTCTCTTTATTGGAGATTTTGGCAAATCTGTCTGAACAGATTCAACAGAATTTGGGGAGATATCTTATGACCAGATATATTGTTTTCCTATTTGTGCATTGCTTCATGGGGTTAGACTCTGCGATTGACTTCTCACCTGGTGTCACACTGTCTTCATAGACCTCGTAAAAATGATGCAATCACTTTCGTCGCCCTTTCTGAAGGTAAATGCAAGCGGGGGTACTTCATCACTTTGCCAATGAGAATTGGAGAGAGATAGGAAAGAAAAGCATGTGAGCATACAATCATATGTCTATAATTCCTTGGAAGCGGGGAAGGCAAATTCATATTCACAATATTGTACTCAGATAACGACGATCTAATGTAGAGGTTAGTACGAATGTGGCAGGTAGGATAACATGAAGATGGCCATTGTGAGGGGTGGTGTAAGTATTGATATGAGAATTGAACAGAGTATGCAATTAGAAATTGGTTTACTTTTGTCCTACACAGCTTTGGATTCTCTCAACCAAGGTTATGTTCGTTGCATGTCCGATATTCGACACGCAAGCTGCATATATTCTCAAACTAGGCGCCAAAACGAGGCATACCGAGTTTTCTTGAAAATTTCATGTTGAACAACAAACTTCATGAATCAGGGGAAATGTTTGACTGTTGGTTCTCCACAATAGGCAGCCGCAAAGCTGTACCGTTGTGGATATAGACGAGGCCACCAGGTTTTCTCCCAGAGGAGCTTTTGGCTGTCAATAATTAAAATTCCGAAAAACATTCCGCGTTCTGATTAAAAGTTGTAAAGCTCCATCCGTAATACGCATCAACATGAGAGATCTCGACAGAAGCTTTTGAGTTCTGGTGTGGCTTAACATATTTCGATAAAGATCCGAAGGAATCGTGACAACATCCCGACGGGTCTCTATTTATTCCTCGCTACAGTCAAACCATGACCCCACAGACCCATCTTGTATTGCAAACTTTTCGACGTATTGCTTCGTACTATGTAGACCCGTTTAGCCAGGGCGACGCGCCCAATCGTCCGAGCTTGAATTTGTAGCGAATGATCTACGTTGTTGCTTGACATTTCGGATCCACTCCTTCCAAGGGGCTTTTCTGGAAGATGGGGGGGGGGGATCACCATGAACTAAGTCTTACCCTTAAACCTTACGACAACACTACACGAGATCATTCACGGTCAAATGCTCCTACTATATTATCATTAAACACAACATCAAACTATTTTGGTATCTAAATAGACAATTGATTGACTAAATGATTACGGTATCGTTTTGAATAATCCATCATGTCATGGATTTTACTGTAAGACAGGAGTCACTTGGAGCAACTCCTACAACCTCTCATTTTCGTGCATATCCGAGATCGCGAAAAAAGACAAGACGGGATTCATTTTCCATTATCTAACTAATCGAACACGACAATGCTGTGGATCAAATCTAGCACCTTTATCTATCTCTGTTGGTAATCTCCACTTTGTGCATAGGTCATCCCGAAGAAGTTGGGTATGGCCTTGATAAATTTCATTTCATTCCAACGTAGGAAACCAGGCATACTCCGCCTCTGTATCCCTGAAGGGTTGCATCCTTCGTTACATACCTACTAAGCCTACGATGGCACAGCGGACTAGAAGCCCTGAAGCCTCCCCTCCAACTAGGGCGGAGTAGGTCCTGTTTGTCGGATGTGATAAATTTAATTATTTGGTTTCACGTCATCTAAATGCTTGTTACCCATGAGATTGCAACACAAACGGCTGTTTTCAAGACCATAAAACTGCTCTCCCCCAACTGATCTCTTCCTACAAGCGCATTTGACGATCCAACCCAAAAAAACTGTCCAACATTCAAAATCGATAAGTTATCGAAGATTTATCGAAGATTTATATTTTGGGAGAATAAAAATGACAACTTCTTTTGATGGTCCATATCCACCAAATGCACAACGAAGATCATCCCGCTGGCCAACTGCACCAGGAGTTTATGTTAACGTCGAGTTCAGAGTCTCGACGTCCGAGAATGATAAGGGACATGGGGCATCACTGAGGTACGCATCAAGGAATATGAGGGAAAGGGAAAAAGCAGGAGCAAATACACATTTGGGTGGCAAACCAATACCATCGATATTGACTCCTGGTCATTTTCAACTCAATAATTCATCTCACTATCAGCAAAAACCACAGCAACAGCGAGATCTAAATCGAGGGTTGAGTATTGGTATGGAAACACCAGGGAGAGGAAGATCTGCACCACCGACGATGAACGATAGAACTCAACCAATTAGTCCAGTCAGTCCTGTTAGCCCATTGAGTGCTGTTGGCAGTCCAATACAACATCGGATAGTGAACCTACCTCAGCAAAACATTATGGACCGATTAGACCGACCTTTACCATCAACACCAGGACGTTTTCGTCTCGGCGAAGATGACTTACCATGGTCAACACCTCCCTCGTATTGGAACGCCGAACCTGATACATCAGAAAGTGTCGGTCCTACACTAACCAGTATCGAGACCTTTCAACCATATCAACCTTTTCCAACTACTACTAGACGAACCGAAGATCCTAAAAGAGTTCGAGAGTTGTCGGAACTTCAACAGGCTATGATGACGGTGGATAGTATTGACAATGATGTTTGGGATCCGTGGATGTGGGATAGTGTAGGAGATATGCCTAGAGGGCCAAGGAGTATTGGCTGGGCAGTGAGTTCGAACGATGCATCTAATTCACCAGTCTCGCCGTCTCTGAAGACTCCTGCTCCTCCGCCTTACGTTGTTAGTCAGTGGGAAAATGCTTGTAAAAAGAGAACTGGAACTATGAGACCTAGAAGTACGGGCTGAGAATTGAAATTTAAATCCATAGGGAATTTCTGGATAACGATCTATGGGACAGACAAATGAGCTCAGGAAATTTTTCGGGCGCGAGCACTATCATTCCTTTACAATGCTACTACGATAATCTAGAGGGAAATGTCCAAAATTCTATGGAAGACTTGCCTGTATAGCAATTGTGAAGTTATGGATACGCTCGGCACAAGAAATTTCTATACAGAAGCTACATATTAGAAGAACACATCGGTGAATATGGAAAGAACCTCAGGTTCAAATTTATCTGCCATTCGTTAGAAGCATTTCGAGTCCGAGATTGCCACTCGCAGCCGGCAGCTCGCCTGCCTCACTGTCGTTGCCAAACACGGTCCGAAAACCTTCTAGTCTATTCGATTTTGCTCCACCCGCATACACGAATTCGTTTCCACTACAAAATGTGAATCATATCAAGAATATAGCGGAGCACAATAGGGCCTCAAACTCTTCGTCAGAATAAGGCGAAATATCGGATTAACGGAACAAATACAAGGAGTACAAAAACTACGAACAACCGGGGTAAAAGCGGATACCCTTACATGAGCTAGTACATTTACGGGACATATTTGACGTCAAATATCAAGCTTGACTGAATTTGGAGATTCAGGGAAGAGCTTTGATCAGAGGGAAGATCTTGCGCGAGAATGGAATGCAGCTAGAATGTAGCTAGAATTAGGTAGCCAAATTCTTTTGAATTGATAACGTGGTTTATCATCGAGTGGCCCATATCATTGAGTAGCCCACTTTCATCTCAATTTACACTTTCAAACCCATATTATTCAACAATAATTGAATCAATTGATTGAAACTATTAAAAATCTAATAATCTAGGATCTATTATATTATTTTGATAGGTTCTTATATTATATCCTGTCTTTCTGTATTTACTATAATATTAATTAGAAGATACTTCCTTATTAGAATTCCCCCCTTTTTGATGCTTATTATATTGAATCTGAATATCAATCTTTTATTAAGATAATATATTAAGAGCCTTTTATTTAATAAACATTCCTCCTTAATATAATTGAGTTTTTTTTATATGTTAATATTTACTTAATACCTCATTTGCTGTTTGAAGTGTATAATTCTTTATACTTAAAAGTGTATTCTTATAAGCTAATTTCTCTATACTTTTAGTTAGAATTAGTATAGTTTTGAATATAGATATAAAAGAGCTTAATTGATAACAAGTTATTTGAGATTTAATTAATATTAATTAAAAAAAAGCTTTTGTTAAATTGCGAGGGGTTTGAGAGATTCATTAATCTAAATCGAAAGAGAAGGGGGTAGGTATACGAATTTAAATATCTAATTTCGAAAGTACAGTTTTAGAATTAAATAAAATTAAATCTATTCCTTGGAATTCTGATTTTATATTCTGAAAGGTGATTGATTCTTTATATATAGCTTTAAAAACTATAAAGAATTCAATCTTTGAAATATAATTAATATATACCTTAATAAATTTATTAATTTGATTACCATATAAACATTTTAGATTGCTAAAATAGTTAATATTAAGTGGTTGAATTAAATAATTTGAATATAATAATAAATATAAATATATAATATTGTTCTCTTTATAGTATATTTGAAAAGCTATTGATTTGTAACTTTTATGCTTATTTAATATTAATATTCGATATTTACCCTTTCTTCGATTCTTAGTATACTTATCGAAATGTTTCAATTATTCTAAATCTGTTTTATTATTCGTCCACCTATTAGATATAGATTTAATAGCTCATTCTACAAAAAGATTCGTTTCAGTATACTAATTGGAGAGATGAACTTGTCCTTGAATCATTAGAAATAAGGGAATAGTTTCACCCTCTCTATTTCTATATATTATTGCTATAGCCCATTCTCGATTATCTAGCTATACTGTCTTGCTTCTGCCATTTCGTTCAGCACTAGTTACTACCATTACTACATATATAATCCCCATTATAAAGCCTGTTTCATCAAAATTATAGAAATCTCTGTTCAAAATACTGTATTTCGCTTACATATTCGCAACTAATCAAAACCATTCTTCAAAAAGTTTAGGATCCTTACAAAAAGCTTTTTGAAAATCATAAACACAACTAAAACATATCTTTAATTCAATTCAACACTTTACAAATTGATACACCTAAAGCTTCCCAACATGTTTCATACTCTTCAATTCGAGAATATTATTCATCATATCTTTCATATTCTTTAATTTAAATGGAAATCCTTTTAAATCTATATCAAGTATATATTAAATAATCATTTTTTCTTTTAATTCTGTAATCTTATAATGATTCGTTTGAGTTTTTATATAAAGAGATAAACCTTTCATTCTATATTGAAAAGTTGTATAAGGAATATTATAAAGTATAACAACCTTTTGAATACTTAATTTTTTATCTTTATAAATAGTTTCAATAATAAGGAGTATACAAGCTTCTTGATTATTCGAATTCATTATAGATTGTTGATAAAATATATATTGAAAAAGATAGGTGTAAATTGAGGTAAAAGTGGGCTACTTGATGATATAGGCTACTCGATGATAAACCACGTTAGTTTGAAATACATTCTTTGCAAGGGATTTGAGACTCTTGGGCCGAAGGAGATGGTGAAACTTATTGTAGTAATGAATTCCCTATGATTGTGGCTGTGTAAATTTTTCTTTTCCCCTTTCCTTTCTCTTCAAAAGACCTGGAACACCCTTCAAACACGAGGTTTTGTCGCAGGAAAATGAAGTTCTAGTGTCCTTCGCCTCGTTTGACTTGTGAAAATGAATCTAGGTACATCGCCGTAGAACGTCGGGCAACTTCCCCACCCCTGTCTATCAAAGAAGATCGCAGGCATACATTTTCGGTCCTTTTTGTTAAGTTACGGAGATCCTACACGGAGGTGCCGAAGCTCGTTCGCTGTTATGTAGGTGCCTGATGTAAACGGCTATGTACACTATCAGAGCCATCTTCCGAAGGGATATCTATTGACTTGGTATTTCGGATGCATGGACGGAAGAGTGGAAACGGAGTGATATGAACTATATGCAGGGCCACTTTCGTACTTTACAGTCGATGCACCCTCACGAGTATGTGGAGATTGATATTGACGCCACCAAGGCGATATCTGAAGAAGTAAGTGAGTGACAGCGCGTTTCATTCGTTGCGGCATTGAAGGACATGGCTCAAAAATGCACACTTATTTATCTCCGATGGTAAGGCATCTCGGATTATCCTTGTTCGTCCATGATTGCCGACTCTCCTCATTACCCTAAATAGTGATTCAGTTCGAAGTCGAACTGATTCTCTCCAATGATGATGATTTGGATCGTGTAAGAGGACACTTTTATGCAGGCATACCATGCATGCATGTGATAGACTGGACTTCATGGTCTCATTGAAAAGTCATTGGGGACCAAGGCTCCTACGAGAGGCAACGGTAATAAGTCCAGTACTTGGAACTTAATCGCAGAGACATGGAAGAAATAAATGATGAAGAATGGGAATCAAAGCTGTATTCGAGGTACGATATTTTCTCGATATATCGCAATTACATCTTTAAAAATGGTAAGACGACAGTGGAGGAAATGATAGGCACGCCCATGACTTCTCATCTTCATATGCCCCAATTCAAAGAACTTTACCTAAATTGGACTGATAAACTCCGCTAGCGACTTGCAGAGGCTGTCTTCTCTTTCATGAAAAATAGAGCGAGCGTCAAAAAGTGTTACCAGGCTCACAAGATGCTCGTTATATTGAAGAGGCCAATGATCCATCTACCGATCGCGCTTTGGGAGTTACAGACTTAAATAACGCAGGTGCTATTGATCATCAATCTTATCTCTCTGCTTGTTTATTCCATCAACTACCCAGCTCGTGTAGGCGAAAGACTTTCTATCGCTTAGGAACCATAGCCATTGTGATTAAGTATCTACGCGACGCCGACATCAAAATGCAACCATCCGAAACGACATAAAGATATCAGATGAACAATCACATAACCGCTCTATTTGAATCCTTGCTAGCTCTCGGAATTCTTACCCCGTGCTATCATTCAAACAGGAGAATAGATTGCATCCTTGGTGTCTGATTGGAGGATCACTTCCGAGGCGGGAAGTGGATCTATGGGGTTTACTGCGAGGCGTATTTTGAATTTTCTTGGTCGGATGTACCTTGCGCTTGATATTTTCAATTTTTTCTCAAAGAATGTACGATACAATTTACTGTTCAAAGGTGTTATCAGTTCCATCTTTCAAAGTTTGTATTGGCCGTTGCACCTACACTTTCATGTGACTTCGCCCCTTTGGTTGCTAAATTCTGCTTCTTTCGGTTGTAGGATAGTCGTGGCTATGAAATAGTTTATTAGCATTGAGACTCAAGCATTCTCATCTTATCAGATTGTTGGCATATGGTTCTCGGTCGCAAGTGTGACGATGTGTCTCTATTTGCGTGGGTTAAAATCTACAGAACGCGCCTACCGTTTGTCTTGCTCTTGCCTGCTCACTCGATTATCATCTCAAAATGGTCGATATAAGAGTTAAAATTATCTACTGATTAGATTAATCGTGCCTATTAAGGAATACATCAATCTAGAGGAAGAATTGATGTCAAGTTGACAGCTGTAAGATATTGTGAGCCTGTGGTGTTTGATCATTGCAGAGATTCGTCTAGTGTGACACGCCTTCATTGATGACGTGGCTGATCAGGAAACTGAGGCTGAGTTGCAAGAATTTCCCCTCCCAACAATTTCTAGTATTGTTTAATTTGGAATTCAACTTCTGAAGCAATAATTTCTCTCATTCTGAATCATTGACGTGGAAAGTCTGCGGTTGCTTCGAGATGCTACTTCAAGCCACAAAGATTCTGTTACTTCAAACGTTTCAGACACTGCAAGCAGCCGTATGGTCGCAATTGAGGAAAATAGATAAAACCAAGAAATTAGAGAAACTCCTATACTTATAGCTCGAGTTTATCATTCCAAACTGCGTTGTCAAAACCATCGCAAAAGATCGACAGTCTGGTTTCCTCGGCTCCGCAGTCATCTGGACAATAAGAACGCGAAAAAAGGGGAATTTTTCAAGTCCACCAGAACTTGTGAACAAAATTTTACGATGAAAATAAATGTATGACGGATAATGGGATGCTTCAATGTTATAGTTGTGTCCAGGCAGGGAAAGATTGTAGCTTCTCAAGACGACTCGTTGAGACTCGAAATTCTGCCCACAATTTCAACGCTAGTCTCTTATGAAATGGCATCTTTGGATAATGATGTTACGAATAGATCATCTACAAAGAAAGTATCACAGAACCGCCGTCTTATGCAAGGACTTGTTGCGGTCACTGGGTACTGTCAGCATCTAAGCTTCTCCAACGATGATAAACACTATGGAGATCATCTTGCTATCAAAAATAATGATATATAATACTGGACAGAGAATTCGGAAAAACTAATCTTACTGCTGAGGCTAGTACTGCATCTTTGAAGCGAACTTTTCTCGATCTTCGTGATATTCGTCAAGCTAATGTACCATTTATCAGCGCTGTTCCCGTCAAGGACTGTCCTGATACTATACTGGCTAGTATAGAGGGCCAGCCGAGACTCCTCATGAAGGTAGAATATTCTGGATTACCATCAAAATAACTGATCAGCACCCTAATCAATTGCCTCTGATGAGATTTAACACAAAAATCTATCATCCAAATATATCCCCACAAGGATATGTTTGCTACGCAGGTGGTCAGCTTCACAAGTATTCAAACCCTCTGAATGGTTCAGATAAATGGTCTTTGGGAAGCAACAGAAAGCTCTGCTGGTCAATTGGAGCACTGCTCACCACACTATGCGGTCTTCTATCGTCTCCAGATGTAGATGATCCTTTAGTACCGGAGATTGCACACACATATCTTGACGATTATGACGAATATTGCTGCAATGCTCGACTGTATACAAAAAGATACGCTACAGATAAGAGACCAGACGAACCCAATTTTTTATTTCCTGATAACGCCTCCGAAGAAGCTGAATTCATCGATTCCTCCCATGATCTTCGCAAAGAAGAAAAATCTGATGGCGGTTTGGTAAGCTCACAAAGCTCTCTTGGCGCGAGGTATGATGATAGCTATTTCACCAATTATTGGAAGATTATTACACATACAAAAGTAAGCTTGGCTGACCCTCAGCTCAATATGGCCATACAACAGTTTATCAAAACAAATTGGTCTCAAGATTCATCAGTCGAATCACTCCACTTACAGGATATTGATTTCGTCACAAAACAAACTATGGGGATTTCAAAAAGTCATACATATCTCTAATCATTCACCCTATTAGCAGCTTCTACTTCACTCGAGCTTCTATTCCCAAGTAGCTCGCTCCGCTACTGTATCACCTAAAACGGAAGTATTTTCATGTTTATGCAATGCTCCAGATTTCATAACCATAGTCTTGTCACACACCCGGGTGAACGCAACAGAGGACAGATGCATGAATTTTTATGTTGAAGTCTGTTTCGCGGGGATCGAAATGCCAATTGCAAACAACTGGGTTATGCGTATAGACTGGACAAGTTTCCACACAGCGCAATCATCAATTTTAGCACTCACGAGTCATAATTTATCTAGATTGACTCTCAAGCTCAACTTGGAAGAGATTTCTTTTATTTCTCTCACGGAATTTCTAAGCAACTGAAAAGCTGGCTTAGTGTTTTGATCATCTGTGTCCAAATTCCATGCTTTATAAATGAAAATTGGGCCCAGGTTTTGGAACTTCTAAGTTTCCTATTGCCTTACCAAAAAGGGGACAGAATATTCAGCTATAATGAAGACGGTACCCTGTGCGTTTCCGAGCCGACAGAATGTACGAATGCCGTAAACATACTTCTGGAAATAGCACTGAACATACGATCAGAGGATATCCGGCCTGAAAAACGGATTCAAGTTATCATCGACTGAAAACTCTACTTTGACGTATCGCGAGAAACAACGCATATTATATCAGCATAGGTTCTATAACTGTCTATACCTCCTCTTACTCTCTTCCATCATTTTGTACTAAAATACTGCTACCCCAAATACTACATCATAACGACCGCCATCTTTGAAAAAATGACATTAAATTGGCTAATAAAATTACCACTCCCACCGTCATACCGCATCTTTTCCACGTTCCTTTTTCACCCCTATCTGCCTCTCCGCTTGGGGATTCGCTCCTCCTTGCCCCACACTTTCCACACCATCCTGCTCTCAAAACTCTCTATCCAAATTCCTCCCCTTCCAAATTCCGTAAACATCAAACGGATCAATAACTGTAACCCACCATTTCCTCTCATCCTGATCTCCCATTCCCTCTAATTCAGTCACTCCATCTCTTCCTAAATAGATCTTATTATTCCTCGGCAAAAACTCATCGGATGTCTCCACTTCAACAAAAATGTATGGCAAGTCATAAGCGAAGCTTCAGAGACCCAGAAAAACCACTCACGCCGAATAATCGGACTGATATCAAGAACTTCTATCCCAGACTCGAGATGCAAATCTGCGATACTGAAGTATTCCACCGTGCGATATATTGTTCTTGTTCCAATCAACGCACTCGATATATAGAGTGTGATTAACACATTATTCAAATTACTCGGTAAAAGCGAATATTTGCGACATTTCAAGTGGAAATAAGCAGCGAGGAAGATGAATGCTCCCAATGTACCGAGTTGAAGACATAAAGTGGCTTTGAGAAGAGATCGACCGGTTTCTTGCGCATCTTCGGAAAGAGATGAGTTGGCGATACGGGCAGCACCGTTAGCGTTGAGAGCTTCGACAACGGCGGATATGGCGCCGAAAGTTGTGAGGACGCGGCCGGGATGGAGAGGAGAGTGGTAAGGGACGTAGTAGAGAATACGGGTGAGAATGAAGTAGTTTACTAGTTCGTAGATGGGTCTGTGTTTCAATTTGAATTTAGTGCGGATTCGGGTAGGTCTTAGTCCCTATAGTAGCAGAATCAGTACTTGATAAAGTAAACTCTTTATTCTTACAATAAATTCTTTAATTCTTTAATTATATATTGAATAAATCATTTTTAAAGTATTAATATGATTAATTTAAATTTTTATAGATTATGAAGTTTATTTTAATTAATAAGGTTTTAATAAATTTCTTGAATTTTGAAATTTAATTTTAATTTTTAGTTTAAAACAATCACTTTGAAATAAAAAAGTTTATTTGTATCAAAATCAGATTATATTAGTTATTTAATATATTCTATATTATGTAGTATAGTAGTAAAGCTTTTGATTAAAGAATAAATTAAAGATAAAGTAATACGATTAATAAATAGATTCCTCTTTAAACTTTCGACTAATACCTCTCATTCATTCTAGTCTTTACACTCACTCTCCTCCTCCTTTTCCTTAACTTTTATTCGCCTCTATAACCTCCTCCTAACCTCTATATATATATTTTTCTATTCACCTTTTCTACAATTCTAATATTCAAAGATCTTAAAATCTTAAAGGCCTTTAAAACCCCTTATTTTCTTTTTTTCTTATTAAAATTCAGTAATAAACAAATCACATTATATACTAATAATATTCATTACTAATAAAATCAACATTTTATTAATAACTAAAAAGAAATCAATATTATTATATATATAATAGAAATTTATATAGGGATTTGTATTGAATTTCTCTTTATTCATAATATTAACTTTACTACTACAGGGAGTAGGTAGGTAGCGAGAGTGAGGAGAAGAAGAAGCTGAAAAAGGGGTAAAACTTACAGTGCAGCGTAAAGCAGAACGATACTCGCGACATATATATCGAGATTGCTGTAGTTGAAAGCACCGATTTCTCGAAGGATGAAACCGGCAAGATATATACATCCGCACCATGGAAGTGGTCCAGTGACTTTCCAGCATTTGTAACGACTTGAGCTCATTAGTATGGCACTTCGATAAACTCATTCATAGGGGAAAAAGTATATGTGCGGGGGAGGAGACAACATACTAGCATTGATAACCATGAGTAACCATAGACATCGCTATCAAAACTGCAAATACAGCGGGTGCTACCTTGCTAGGCGCATAGAAGTAGAGACTATTTTCGACTAAATCAAGAGAATCAATCTAGCTACTTTCAATCAAGATGTCAACTATACACGTACTAGGCTTGCCGTTCTCCATATTAGTTATCGTGATCGCAGTTGAGTTGAAGTCGTATATATCGCAAAGTAAGGGATAACTCCCAGTCTCGAGGTAACACCAGAAAAATACTTCGCTACCTTCCAGAAATGATCAACAACTAATTGTTTACAACAGCGATACAAAACAATCCTCTATATAATATCCAACAATCAGCCGCATTACAATATTCTATTATTTTCTCCCGTTTCTCTCATTCACTTCATTCATAAATTATATTCTAAGTTACCTGACCACTCCCTCATTCGCGGAAAAGCATCTCAAGAATCCAAGGTCGCAAACGTTATTGGCTATCTTCCATCTGCCTAGCAGTGCCCCCAAATCTAGGGAGGCGAAGTCACTAGAGCTAAACGGGAGTGATGTAGCGACGTGACTGCCGAGAAATTTATGTCATAATGTTATTTGAGGAAATTTTCTCGAACGATGTGTTTGTTCAGAATGGGAGCTGAACGAACCGAAATACGCTGGATGTATGTAATAAGACGGGAAACTTGATATGCCGAGGATTGGAATGTTATTGAATGAGTGAGAGATCGAGAAGGTTTCGGATTGTAAGCTATCCAGAGGGCTTCATAGGGCTGAGCACTACGTTTTTCTGTTTTGGGAATCTGAGTTTTTGAAGGAGATGTAGGAATTATCTTATTGAAATTAATATTATAACTAAAAATAAATCATTGAATCTTCAACTTTTTCAAATAATTACACAAGATACGGACCTAAGTAGTCACTAGGGCAGAAGGATTTCACAGATTGTGGGTTTATAGAATTCCTCTCTTCCTATTCACTTAGTATGTTATTTATTATATCATTATCATCATTAACATTCTTCATAGGTAAAAGACTATGTAGAACTGCTAATTCGAGGCTTAGCAGCTTATTATATGGGTTAAACATTTTAAGATAGTCTCTAAGTGAAATTATAAACTCATAATACCGGGAGCTGAGCTCGAGAAAGGGAGGAACAGAAACGGCGATTTATGTATACAACATCAAATGACCCTATATCCTCAAGTCTGGTAGCTTCTGAGGCGTCTTCTCTATCTCTTTCATTGTCTCTAGAAGCTTGCTTAAAAGATGCCGCGTTCTTGCAACTATACCAATAGTGCTAATAACTCCAATGATGTTCTCCATACCGATTCTTGCGTGGAGAAGGCATCCGGATATGAGGTATCGGGTGAGAAAACCATTAGCTATCGTCCGAGTTGTAGGTCCAGAAACGGTTAGTTGCTCTAATGCAGGCGTGAAAATCGCTTGTCTAATCCTTCATATTTGCTAAGAACAATCAATGACCCAGAATTTCCTTCGCAATCCAAGTTTAAAGAATATTCTCGCCCTTGAACGTCCCAAGTGGTAGAAACCCCCCCTCCCCCCCGCACGAACGCACTCAGCCATTAAAAATCATTCCTACAATCTAGACATAATTACTTAACGTAGTTTATCAATACATACATCATATCAATATATACACCACTTTTACCTCAATTTATACTCTTCAATTTCAACATACAATTTATCAATTATTTATTATACAATCAAATAATAAAAAAGGGAAAATATTCTTAATTATTAAAACTATCGAAAAAAACAAAAAACTTTTAATTCAAAAGATTGTTAAACTATATAATATTATATATATAATATTTATTTAAAGAAAAAAAAAAACTCTTATAATTGAATTTCGATTATAAAATCTGAAACTTATTAAAGTAGAAGAGCAAATGATTATTTTATATATTCTTAATATAAATTTAAAGGAGTAAAAGATATAATGAATTATATTCTTAAATCGAAAAAAGGAAAAGCTATTGAAAAGCTTTGAGTATATTGATTTATAAAATAATATAAAGAATTAAAAATATATTTTAATTGTATTTATAACTTTCAAAGAATTCTTTATGAGGATTCTAAGCTTTTTGAAGAATAGTTTCGATTAATTATAAATATATAAGTGAAATACATGTTACGGGAGCTGCCTCTAGGGTCATGTGGAAGTGTTTAGAGATCTTTTGAGGTGGTTTAGATTAGACTTCAAATAGGAATTCAATAAGGTTGTAACTGGTTGTAATTCTTATAATTATAGTAATGAAATTAATGATTGTTCTTGAGCACGAAGCTCTACATTATAATGAAATCCATTCTCTTATATAAACCTTCATTCTCTATCCTAATCCCTAGAACCTCTCCAATATATTGGATCGTTAAGGATCGCAACGCGCTCCAGAAGCGCTGAAGCTCCTTGACGCTTCATCACGTGTAATTTATATCATGTGACGTGGTATGTTGAATGCCGTCGTAACAATACAACATTTTAAATAGAGATTTCTATAATTTCAATAAAATAAGCTTTATAATAAGAATTACATAACGTAACGTATGGGGAACTCGGACATATGGGGAACTCGGACACTTTTTCAATTATTCTACACGCGATCTTGTTCTACGAGCCACACAATCCTCCAATTCCAATTCCGAATCACTTGAACTATTCTCTAGCTCTTCTTCTTCAATCTCTTCTTCTGATTCTTCAATTGGGCGTTTGCGTGGCCGTCCTCGTGGCTTTTTCTCCTTCGGTTTTTCCTCCGCCTCACGTACCATTTTCAATACTTCCTTAGTACTAAAGACAAATTGACCTTGTAATTTGACTCTTTTGCCTTTAGTTCTTTTCTTTCGAGTCTCAATTACCTCCTGAGCATCAGAGAGCTGTTTCCGAAGTAGGGCTATCTCAGCATTTTGAGATTCTACAAGCCTAGTCATTCTCTTGGCATATCGACGAGTTGGCGATGCAGGAGAACCACTGCTTGCTAGAGCTGTATTAAAGATCTGATTTGCTTGCCTTAGTTCTGTTCCATCTGGAGGAGAACTCCTGAGTATAGACAAGTCTAGGTCTTGATTGGGGGTTCTCATTTGTGGAGTAGAAGGTTGCTGGGAGGAGTTAAATGGTAATGAATCGAGTACTTTTCGTGGGGCAAAAGGTACTAAACCAGCTCCTCTCCAGCCAGCTTTAATATTAGAAGAATTCAATGCTTTTTTTCTAATATTTTGAAAGAGTTCTACCCATTCAGCTCTTTGGATTCGCTTTACACCAGCTCGAGAATATCGATCGACCTCTAAAGCATGATATCGTTTCATTGGCCCATACACCGCAATATCAAGTGGCTGAAGCAAGTGAGAGCAATGAGGAGGTAATATAAGTAAATCAATATCATTATCTATACAGAAAGCAATAAAGCTACCTGTAATATGGCTTGAATGGCCATCCATGATCAAAAGTCGAGGTCGGTCACCTGACACTTTCTTGGATTCTGGTTCGAAAACCCTTTTTAACCATTCTAATCCATGGCTATTTGAGGTCCATCCATTTGTACTAGTAGAGAACTGCCAGCTTTGAGGTGTGTCCTTTGGAATCCATGCAGAATTCGTATTCTGAGCCTTGAAAATGACCATAGGTGATAGAGCATTTCCAGCTGCATTGACACATTCAAATGCAGTTATCCATTCTTGCTTGCCAGCTGTAACTTTCCAATTCGATTTCTGAGTAGAATCGACTATAATGCGCGTACTTTGAGTACTTCCAACTCCAAATCCGGTTTCATCCATATTATACATATCATCTAATTCATACTTTCGCTCAATGAGACGCGTGCGAAACGCGTCAAACCAAGCCTGAATATTCTCCGGAGTTGCTTCTTTAGCCCGATTAGACTCTAATTGACGTGAATAGCATGTTTTAAGTTCTGGATGTCGTTTTTGGAATCTATAGATCCATTCGTGGCCTATAGGTGGAATTTCTGTCGAGGTAGGATTTCGAGATGACGCGACCCGAACGCGTCGAAGACGAATTTCGTCGGCCATTTCCTTCACCAACATAGGTGTAGCAGGGAATCCAGTGATGGTAAGTCGTGAAATCCATCGTACAAGAGTATTTTCTTCTACGTTTGAAAGAATTTGAGCCATTTCGTGGGTTTGGGAACGTGTTTTCTTCCCAGCCAGCCTATCAGCTAGGGTAGACTTAGGGACTTCAAAATGCTCTGCAGCCTTTCTAATTGATTTAAATTCTTTCAATTGAAGTGAAATTATAGCCTTTTGAAGCTTCTCTTCAATTTGAGCAGATGTAGAAGGTGATTGGGTATGCATAATAAAAGTTATTGCGGTTTCAAGTTGGTGATGGGCTAAAAGTGTCCGAGTTCCCCATATGTCCGAGTTCCCCATACGTTACGTTAATAATAAAAATTATTAAATAATACTTTCTCGAAAAGCAAGGGATCTGTGGGCTCACAGGCCCCTAGTATATATAATTTTATTCTAAGACTATAAATAAACAAATAAATAATAAATAATAATAAAAACTAATAGAAAAGAAAAAAAAAGAAGAAAAAAGAAGAAGAAAAAAGAAGAAAAAAAAAGAAGAGTAAAAAACATATATTTCCTATATATATTTTTTTTCAATATTCTTTTCAAAATTTAAAAAAAAAATCTTTTAATAGTCTAGAATATAATCTACTAATCCAGTATGACTAATAATCAAAAATTTCACTCCAATTCAATTAATACGATACTCATATATACTAAACACTTAGAAATAGAAAAATAACAATAGTTTCATTCTACTTTACTAGAGTTTATAATTTAATATTCAATCCCTATCTAATATTTAATACCTACTATCGACTATCTACCACCTACCATCTAATACCCAAAAGATAATCATCCCTTCAAAATAAAACAGTAAAACCAAATTCAATAAGAAGTATAACTATTAAGTAAATCCAGCATGTATAAATCAAAAACCCCTCTCATTCCCTTTGTAATCCTTACAATCCAGAGATTCATTTCCAGTAATACAATACTAAAGGAGTAAGGTATGTTATTATTAGACATTTATTTCTCAATCTGAATCTGATTTGAATCTGATTTGAATTGGTTTGGTTTACATTTATCTGTTATGTTATGTGATATAATATGTAGAGTATAGATGAATATTTGAAAGTATTGAATATAGTATCTTGCTTATATGTATGTATGTATGTATGTATGTATGTATGTGGACTTTTGTATTTTCATTTTGTAAGCTATACTCAGGCTATCTACTCCTACTGAGTCTCTAAAGAATATCTCTCTGTTGTTTACACGCATTGGTTTTTGAAATCGCATTCATCCCATGAATGCTTCAAGTATGTATGTACAGTATTAATTTCATTCTCGACCCTACCATCTAGCAGGAGATTTCTTGCCATTCAGGTCCTAACCTCTCAAGCTCGGCAGGAAAGACATTCAACAACATCAAATCCCTCTCTGAAAATACTACATCCAAAACCCCTACCCCTGATCCCCCACTCAAAGCATCGCCGTCGCATCCAACACGGGAATATCCATACTCAAAAACGAATCCCAATCAAACCCCGTGAAATCCATCGAACCAATATTCGGTATCCCGGGTACCATGCCATTCCCATTCCCATTCACATTTGCATTTCCCATCATCGTCGGCGCCAGCATCACCTGTACGGGATTCAAATTCGGAATTGGCAATTGGTTCGTCTGCATTGGTTCCAATCTGGTCTTGAGACCCTGACCCAAAATATTAATTTCTTCCTGTTTTCTCTTTTGAGATAACTCTACTAGCGTTCGAGCGGTTGCTGCCGATTCTGTAAGTGACCGCGTGGTGAAACAGCGGGATACGGCATCGAGAGTCTCGAGAGCTTCGCCGATATGTGAGAGAGATTCGGGGGTATCGATGACGAGGAGAATGCAGACGAATTGGAAAGGGATATTGGCAACGTGCCACCAAGGCTGGCGACTCTCTACCATTCTCATTACGGATCCTAAGCCTTTCATGCCAATGGATATGACCTGAGAAATGGTATCAGGTGATATCGTCGAGGCGAGGAGACGCAAACGGCGGTACAATCCTAATACCAAGTTTGTTTGTGAAAGGATTGCTCCGTCTGATCGAGCATGAAATCGGTAGATCGATTCTATACCTGCTTCGAATTCTGCGGCTGTATGATCCACATCCTGATCTAGACGTTCCGATACTTGAAACAAGCTGAGATAATCAAGCGTGATGTCGGATTCACTTTCGGGCGCGGGAAAAGGAGGGGTAGGTATTTTCACCGTAACTTTGGATCGACCATAATCGTTTGCAACCCATGAATTCATCAGTCGAGAAATCCAGAACAATCTCTGCATATTTAACACTCCACAACCGATTCCTCTCTCGTGGTCCGCGTCGTTACTGCTGTTATCCGAATCATCCTCCATTCCTACACTCTCAATAATGTGCATTGTTGTACAACTGGCGATCCATGCAGCATGAGGACAAGCCGTACATCTCAAGAAAAGTGTCCGCAATACCCATGCTACCACATGATGTCGAGAAGGATAATTCAACACACTCGTTGTTTCCAACGCCATCTTTGCTAATTCTACCAACTGTGCCTCTGCTGGACTTGGATTGCCACCCGAAAACAAAGATCCCAATGCTGCCACACCACACAAGATGGGATCATGCGGATCAGAGTTTTCGAGATTTAATAATCCCCATCTCTCCACAATCTTCCGATCAAATAGATCTCTTTTGAAAATACCAAAGATTTGATGCGTCGTGTCGAAATAATGATTCGCAAGTCTCTGCATCTCAGCTTGCCCTATCACTCTCGTGATCGGCGGTTGAGCATAAGATTGTTCATCCTTCAGACCCAAATTCCACGCCAAATGCGGTTTACTCAACTTCCCCGCATCCAATTTCAAGGCCAAAGAAGCCGCGAATGCTTTCCCCCACAGATTTGTATCTTTAGCGCCACTGGTATGAGGGACATGAGCACTTTCACTATCTGCTCTCTCCCGCTCGTCTCGATGGTGAATGCTCGCGTCCGGTGAACTATGACTTTGCGAAACATCCGTGTCGTGATCTTTCAACGTGTGTCTTCTCCGTTTCCTCGGACCGAGCTCATAATGGCATTCGTAGCCGTATCGAATACAGGTAGCGCAAGGCTCCGATCCATCACAACGCTTCTTTCTCGATTTGCAAGGTTGACATGCACGTTTGACCCGTTGCCGCCCAGGTCGGATATCAGGTCGGATGTCAGAGCCTTGTTGGTTTGGTAAGTTGGGATCGATTTGCTGATCTCTCGCAGAAGATTGCGGCTGAACTTGTTGAGTCGATTCGGTTGGTTGATTCAGTACTTGATTATCCATCTCTCCTTTCTCCTTCTTTCTCTTTCTTTTTCTTTCAATTTACAATATGTGGCCGGATTGATTCAATGGAAATGATCTGGGTCAAACTCCAATGTTTTAATGAAATTTTGCGCCTCCGGGACAGAATCTAATTTGGCCGAAGTCTCATGTAGGACTTTCAAAGCCCCTGTTCAGTAAAGAAAAAGAATACACAATCGCTCACCACACTTCTCTAATGCTTATCCAAACAGGAGGGCAATAAGTTATAAGTTATATATAAGTTATAAGTTAACTATATGTAATTATGCGTATTATTAATGTTGTTCTTACATCGATGGATAAAGTTGATGACTTCAATACTAGTACAGAGTCGAAGAGTATGATCAAGATAGGTAACCTCGGTCCTTCCTTGACATGTAACATCTAGATCTACCTTGTGAATGAAAAATTCTACGATATGATAACCTTATTAGGGCTACCTGCTATTTCTGGGATTCTCCATCACGATTCACTTCACGAAAGCTCCTTGAAGAAAAGATCTGTCGGATATAACGGGATATTCGGTCATTGATCCACTTGATCCGTTTTGAGCACTGCCCAGGAACTTTGATGTACGAAGTAATTACGGAGTAGTGAAGCTTTGATATCTTTTCGTCAGAATGTCATCTATGATTACTGATCTGATCACTATGATGGAAGAAATCAAGATGTGGTCGTAGGTGATAAATGGCCGCATCTAATCATCCTTTCGAGCATATACCGTCACCAAAAGGTATCACTGAAAAGGGTTATAGGATACAATTGAATGGATACCGAAGATGTCGATCTCAGTCGGTACTACCTCAACTCGCCTGAAGTCATCACACCCAACGCACAGTCCCGCATGAAAAAAACCAGTAGAACCTCATCCAGCAAGCCATCACGGACATTTATCCGACTACATCCCACTACATCCCACTATGTACCCAACTCAAGCCGCAACATCATTATGATTTCCACGATGCGAAGAATACACCCATTCGCTTCACACATCTCCTCCAAACATAGCAGCTCTGAACAGTAGAGTAAAACCGCAGTCAAATGAAGCCAAGTTATATTCCTCTTTCCCGCATCGAACTATCATTCACGAGGACTATCCAATCTATCTATCCACAACACTACTAGGTAGGTAGGTAGGTAGGAGGTAGGTAGAGCTTCACGTTTAACAATATCAATACTTGCATCACCAATCAAGATATTCAGAGTGAGTATAACGAGGTACTAGGTAATAAACATATGGATATTTGAACTTGCAAAATCCATTTCTAGACTCTCTTTGATTATATACAGTAGGATACCACATCTTCCCCTGCCTCATCAATATCAATATCAATATCAATATCTCAATGCTCTCTCCTCCTCTCCATTGTCTCTTTTCATTCTTCCTCTTCATGCTTCACCTAATCTATTCCTCTACCTCGCTTGCTCTCCTCTTCATGCTTCACCTAATCTCTTCCTCTACCTCGCTTACTCTCCCCTCATATCTCCATCACTCAAAATGTCATTCCCACCTCAATCTCATCCCTATCTCATCTTCACCACAATCCATCCTCCTCCTCACCCCATATCTCATCCCTCTACCCCCGCCAATCCCCAATCACATCTCTCGTCAAGTAAATAGCAACAACAAAAACAATTCTCCTTCTCCTTCTCCAAAACACAGAAAGGGTATTCCCATCGCCCAAATACAACACCTCAAAAACTAAATAACCTAAAGAGGCAGCACCCCATCAAGCTCGAGAAATTAGAAATCAGAAAATAAAAAAGAACACGCTATCTTTACAAGATATGCAGTATATAGTATACAGATTTTCTTCATGTGAGAATCATGATAATAATAAGATAATGATATGGGAAAGCAAAAGCAAAAGCAAAAGGATACAACAGAATGCTTCATCTATCAAATACCTACCTATTACATGAATCATTCCACAGCTTCAATAATCAATAACTACCCAATATCATAAATTTCAATTTAATGGAGTAAAAATTTGAATTTCTCAAATCATATTATATGTTATTGCTAAGACTAAGGTATCTAGAAACAGTCCGCATCTCTCAATTCCAATTCCAATTCAATTCGATAATGTAATGCGATTCCTAAGATGAAAGTAGAAGAGCACGCGCGTGAAAAAAAAAGCAATAGTAACCTATTAAAATGACGCTTTGCTCACTATAAAGATCGAACACACCTTTGATCTAGGTGCTCCCATTACTTTGGAGGCATTCTCAGGTTCTCGCTTACGCATTTCGATTCAACATTTGCTGTTCATCCTGAACGGTGCGTATAGCCTTTGGACTTTTGCTCAGCATGTAGAATGACAACTCCTTCGTATTCTACCTTGGATATGTTTGTTTTTTTGATGACGCCTCCAGGTGACAGCCGGGTTTTGAAGTTGATGTTTGAATTTCCGCTTTCTCCATTTGAATCGAAAAATCAACCTCGCATACTTTCGTCACGTAATTTTCATTTCCTGTTATCTACGCTCGATCCACGCTCGCCTCGTATTGTATCCAGATAATCTCCTCTCGATAAATCTATACTTGGTCTTAAAGAAGAACTTGAGCTCCTTCTTCTCCTCGCTCGAGATTCATTTGGATCCAAGGGATTGAGACCTGATGTACGAGCGAAGAGATTGAGGATATCGGATAGGGTAATGACACCTGTCAAACGACCTGAGATACGTGCACCTGGTAAAGCTGCAGCAGATACGGCAGGGAATGAAGGAGAAGGTGGTACAGAGCCACTGCCACTTGGTTGTTGAACAACGGAGGCATGTGCGAGAGATGGAGTTGCAGGAGCTGATGGAGATGGAGATGCGGATTCGACAACCCACATACGATGAGATCTGGTTGCGACAAGTTTTGCTACGGTATGAGCGAGAGTCGAATATGGGTTGACGTGGAAGACTGGGAATGAATCCTTTCCATCACCAATTCCTCGTTCGCTCAATATGACAGAGATGAAATGTATGCAAGAAGATTGGAGGAGTGGTAAACTACTTGTGTGCGTAAGAAGTTTAGTATCAGCTGTTGATATGTTACCAACAACATTTGCAGCGTTGTCAACCACTGCAATGCTGGTTAATCCTTCGTTGCTCATGAGCTGAAGAGCATCCGTGAGAAGTTTGTCACCACTATACCCTTGTTAGCAGAAGTTTTGTTGTGAGGATACTGACAACTCACTTGATTGCGATAGCGTGCTGTGTTCCAATATTCAAATCTCTCAGAATAGTCGGATATAACTGGTCGATGGCTGGGAAACTGCTACCATTATCCCATAAGAATTTAACCAACTTCAACTGACTCAAAATTCCCACAACTGTTGTAGTGCCTGGTTTGCAGACAAGAATACGATGTACACCGCTACCAAATATTTCTACGGCTTTCGAAAGGTCTTCTGATTGAGAAAGTGTTGTAAGAGGTTCTTTTTTGGCAAGTGTTATCACATCTCGAAGTGGGATAGGTTCGCGTTCCCGAGCTTTGCTTGCTAATTGCGAATATGTATCTGTTTGTCCTTCATCGGGGCTTGCTAGTCCAAGGACGACAAGGAGATACGCATTGAGGTCATTGTAATCGAAGCTATCGCAAGCAGTCGCATTAGTCGGAGTTTCGCGGATAAGGATGACATTTGGAGGGCCGGATTCTATGAGCGCCTGTTTGAGAGATTAATATCCCGAGTAAAGAATTTGAAGAAATGTAGGCAAACCTTTGTCGCATGTTCAACATCTGTATCAAGTTCACACCAATGAATATCAGATTCTTGTACCAATTCTCCAACGTGGATCTGTCTCCAATCCCTTCCTAGGAATTTTGGATCTCCACACTTTTGAGCGGGAGGATGATTTAATAACTCTTGAACCGCAGCTTGTGTGAATGATGGATGCCTCTGAGCCCTTGGCGATTGTCGAAGATTTTCGGCGAAGCTAGAACGATGATTGACAGTCGCAGGATTGTTATTACTAGGTGAAGAAGTACTCTGCCTCGGAGGAGGATCGAAAACTGTACGATCTGCCATGACAGAGAGATTAATTTGAGACTTGGATTTAGTGCTACCTAAGGATGTATAGTAGTTTGTTCTTTAGAACTGTATGAGTCGTGATCTTAATTTATTGGATTGATGATTTTGATTTTGATTTTGATGTTGATTTTGATTTTGATTGATGTTGGAGAATAGATGGGAATGATGATCATAGCAAACATGGATTGAGGGGTAGCAGCACGCTAAGATCCCTTACGATCTATAAAATTGGGGTAAATTCGGTCATGATGACTGTTTCAGTAATATAAATATTGATTTGCTGTAAATTACGAGGCAAAGGGATGATATTTACTACAAATTTTGAGCGTATTATTCTGAGAAAGGGATGATAGAGTGATCTGTGGATGTAATAAGGGAGGGACAGAAGAGAAGAACAGGAATTTGGGGTGAGTATTTGGTATCATACACGATCACTTAGGGTAGTTGGGTATGTTTATGATGAATGGTTACTACGTATTTATATTCGAGTAGGTGTATTATGTCTAGTTCTGTTCTGGTATTCTTTGCTCGTCATATACTACTAGGTACTCATATCACTATTGGTAAGAGTACATCAAATTTACCAGACCCTTGAACGGTTACAAGCCAACACTACCATTCGTATTATTGTTATAGTCTTGGAGGGGCTACCGACATGATACACGAACCCGGTAGCAAGGCCATTCATACCTATCAAATGTCCTTTCTACTCTTTGTGAATTATGGATCGGTGGTGCGCGCGTTTATCTCAAGAAGGCCAATAGGCTCATAAGTAGGATGATATCGATTGATGAGGCTGTGTTTTTGGGCAGTTATGGTCAGGGTACTCCGTACGGACTACTTCGTACAACGCATGTACTAGAAGGAAAATAACATTCATTGGTGTCTTCATCAACCAGTTTTTCATCAGCAAGGGATTCTAATAAGGAGGGGTAGATTAGCAGATAGAGGATACGCTATA